AAGTTCGGCGCAATTGGGTTTGACGGCAGCCAAGCCCGACGTCCTGACGGGCCCCTTTTTATCCGCACCTACAAGCTCCTCGGCAACGCGCGCGACGCTCATCTGCGCAGACCCTCGCGCGCAGATTAAAAAAAAAAAAAAAAAAAAGAACCACCACCACTCGACAGCATCACCCTCTCTTCATCGTGGCCGCCGCAACCACCGCCCACCATCGTCTACCGTCGCTCTCCTGCCCATCTTTCGAAACCCGTCGTCGCACGCCTCTTGCCAGCTGCGGTGCGAAGCCGTGACGCGCGACGCGACGCGACACCGGCCGCCTGTCGGCCCTTCCTCGCCCCTGCCATCACCCCCCACACACGCACACGCACACGCAACCCCTTGGATCGACCGGAGACGCTCGTCGCCTCGTCCCGTGGTAGCCGTGATCAACAATACCATCACCACACGCGCCCCCCGCCCCCCGCCCCCCGCCCCCTCCTCTACCGCCCCCAGGATTCATCCCCAGTCATGTACCAGGGTGGCTTCAACTTTGGCAACGCTGCTGCCGCCAGCTTCGGCAATGCCGCCCCGCAGCAGCAGCAGCAGCAGCAGCAACCTCAACCTCAACCTCCGCAGCAGCAGCAGCAGCAGATGATGTACAGCCAGCAGCAGCAGTTTGCCGGCATGGCCCCACAAGGCGCCTTCGGTCCTGGCGGCGCCAATCCTCAGATGATGCAGGGAGGTATGGTGCAGAATCCCGGTATGCCCCAGATGGGCCCCAATGGCCAGAGTACGTCCTTTGACCTTGACCCTCGATATCTCGCCCGGCTCTCTCCCTCTCCCCTCTCCTTTGCCGGATCCCCTCTCTCACCTCTCGGTGGCGCTTCGGCTGACGTTGTCTCGAAACAAGTGCCGGCATACCCGCAGCAATACGCCAACTCACCGTACGGGCAGGTCATGCCGTCATCCATGAGCCCGCAGAACTTCGCTCCCAATAACTTCATGATGGGGGGTGCCGCCGCCGCCGCCGGCATGCAGGGCTTTCCGATGCAGCAGCCGCAGCCTGGCATGCCGCAGCAGCAGGCGGCCCAGATCATGCAGCAGAGACTACAGCAGCAGCAGCAGCAGCAGCAGCAGCAGCAGCAGCAGCAGCAACATCAACATCAGCAGCAGCAGCAGCAGCAGCAGCAGCAGCACCATCACCATCACCACCAGCAGCAGGCCAGCCTTGGAAGCATGAGCCAGGCATCGACGCCCCAGCGACCACCCAGCTCTGCTCAGGCGACGCCGACGGGTGCCCTGCCCTCACAGCAGGGCCAGCAGCCGCAGCAGTTCCAGCCGCCGCAACGACCTCCGTCACAGGGTCAGACGCCTGTCAACTTTCAGCAGCCCCCGCCGTCGGTCGACTCCGCCGGGACGCCACAGACGCCGTCGTTTCCTCAGCAGCACCCGCCGCAGCAGCACCCGCAGCAGCAGCACCCGCAGCAGCAGCATCTGCAGCAGCAGCATCTGCAGCAGCACCAGCAGCACCAGCAGCAACTCCATCTCCAGCACCAGCAGCAGCACCAGCAGCACCAGCAGCACCAGAACCAGCTGCAGCAGCACCAGCAGCATCAGAATCAGCAGCAGCAGCACCAGCAGCATCAGAACCAGCTGCAGCAGCACCAGCAGCATCAGTATCAGCAGACCCCTCAGCACCAGCAGCAGCAGACCACGCAGCATCAGCAGCAGCAGCCGGCCATGCAGACTCCCGGCGCCGCCCCCGGAAGTGTGCCCCCACCCAGTCCCGGTGCTGATGCTCGCGATAAGGAGCGGTTTGCCCTGCTCCTCGACATCAACCACGAGCTCCTGTACGAGTCGATACAGATCCAGACATCGCAGCAGGAGATCAAGAAGGAGCTGTCGGCCGGTGGAGGCCTGGCACAGGACAGGAAGCCGACTGAGGAGGAGGCGATGCTGCAGCAGGACTATGTGCAGTAAGTATTCTGGAACCTGCCCACCTGCCCACCTGCCCACCTACCACGTCCACCTCACCCGAGGGCCCCGACAGGCAAGGCTGACCTCTGCCGAACCAGGTGCATGCGCCGACTGCAGGCCAACCTATCGTACATGGCGTCGCTGGCCGATCGCAAACCCGACACCAAGCTAGCTCCCTGCCCCGCGTACCTGACGGCCCCGAACCTGACCCTGGCCGTCAAGCTGCGCGCCCAACCCATCGTCCCCGAGGGGAGCGAGCTGAGGATCGACCCGGTCACGGACCGCGAGGAGCGCGCCGAAGCCATCAAGGACCTCTACGCCCGCCTGCAGGCCTGCTTCCCGGGCATCGACCCCACCAAGGAGCCCGCCTTTCGTCCGCCGCCGCAGCCCGGCATGATGGCGGGAGGAACACCGCAGCAGAAGCAACATCAGCACCATCTCCAGCAGCAGCAGCAGCAGCAGCAGCAGCATACTGCCATGATGATGGGCCAGGCTAGTCCTACGCACAAGACGCCGCACATGGGACATATGCCTGCACCTCCCACGCAGGGTGGCATCGGTCCGTAGTAGGACGTGTTATCTCACGACGATCACGTTTCCCTCTGGGCCGCTTTTTTTTCTCTTCTCAATTTTTTTTCCAGGCAGTGGGCCGTCGTGTCTGTTTGAAGGTACTACATGTCGGAGTCTCGAACAAAGGGTTAGATGGGTTTTGATATTGGCGCATTCTCTTTTTTTTTTTTGCGTAGAATTTTAATTTTTTTTCTACTCATTTCTTTATATTTATTGCATTTTTGTCAGAAGCAATAGGTTCAGCATAAAATACATGAGGAAAGATGTAAATGCTTAGTTTATTATATCCTACGAGTACAGGTTTTATTGATTTCGTTTCTCATCCGCTTCAATCTCACGTCGGTTGATGGGTTTTTTTTTATCCGTGAGTGTGGACTATTCTTTTTCCGCTCTTTTTTTTTCTTTTCTTTTTTTGTGGTGCCTCTGCCCTGTGACGCAATGATACCTTTTCCCTCCAAGTCATGATACTCGTGCATTTCATTGGTCGCATTAATATGAGTACGGATGATCGTGCCACACATTTGGTAAATGACTATCTGTAGAGATTAGATCTCCCAGTAGTAAGACTTATAAGACTTGTAACTGATGCACGAAATACCTCTTGATACGTACGCGGGACGGACCTGGTCTCTGTTTTCTATTTTCCGACCAACAACAGTTGGCTCCTCGTATCGGCCAATTGACAGGTCGAGTCAGCAGCACTCGGTGAGGCAGTTGTTGAGACGTAATGCTTTCGGGTGGCTCTAGGGTCCATTGACCAATAGGCAACTTTTTTAGGGACCGTCGACCACTCAAAATTCGGGTAAAGTGGTACCTACATGCTAATTACTGGTGGTTTGGTGGGGGGATGGCGCGCCTCGAACAAGGGCGGGGAGCCTCTGTGTGAAAGAGTTGTGGTGTGGTGTGGGCGAAAAAAAAAAAAAAAGTTTACACTCTGATCGTCGCCCTCCAAACTACTGCTAGCAATTTTCCCTTGTTGCCTTTTTTTTTCTTCCTCTTTTCTTCTTCTTTTTTTTCTTTTCTTTCCTCCTCCCCTCCCTCTCCCCTCTCCTCCCCATCCGCCACAGAGGACGACTGACAGTGGCACTTCCAAATCTCCTCACCCCCCAACCCCCCAAACCCCACAAGACGTGAGTGTGAAGGAATCATGGCAGTCCAACTGAAGGCGCCGTCGGTGGCTCGGCTGGTGGAAGATGACGGGCTCGTGTGCCTCGAGCTGGAGGACGGCTCAACCTACCAGGGTTACAGCTTTGGTGCCGACAAGAGCATCGCAGGCGAGCTCGTTTTCCAGACAGGCATGGTGGGTTACCCCGAGTCCGTCACCGATCCCTCCTACCGAGGCCAGATCCTCGTCATCACCTTCCCCCTCGTCGGAAACTATGGTGTCCCCTCGCGAGAGACCATGGACGAACTGCTGGGCGACCTCCCCGCCCACTTCGAGTCCTCCCAGATCCACATTGCCGGCCTCGTCACCGCTTCGTACTGCGGAGAGGACTACTCCCACTTCCTGGCCGAGTCGTCTCTTGGCCAGTGGCTCAAGGAGCAGGGTGTCCCCGCCATGTACGGCGTCGACACCAGGGCTCTCACCAAGAAGCTCCGTCAGAGCGGCAGCATGCTCGGCCGCATGAGGCGCGAGGACCGCACCCGCCTCAACGGCTCGGCTACCGGACGGGCCTTGTCCGGACATCCTTCCCTCGACTACTTTGAGGAGATTGAGTGGTCTAACCCCAACGGCGAAAACCTTGTCGCTCAAGGTGAGTCTACTTCCGCTTGTCTCTTGTCCCAGTCACCGAGGGAGGTAAGAGAGAGGAGATGGAGAAGAAGAAGAAGAAGAAGTCGGTCCATGTGCTCATACCATCTTCTCCTACAGTCTCCGTCAAGGAACCCAAGCTGTACAAGCCTCCCCCTTCTGTGGCCCGCAAGCACCCTTCCGGCCGGACCATTCGCGTGCTGTGCGTCGATGTAGGGATGAAGTTCAACCAGCTGAGGTGCTTCCTCAAGCGCGGTGTCGAAGTCCTCGTCTGCCCCTGGAACCACGACCTCGCCAAGGAGGCTGCCAGCGGCGAGTACGATGGTCTCTTCATCTCCAACGGTCCCGGCGACCCCGCTGTCCTGGAGCCCACCGTCAAGAACATTGCCGCCGTCATGCGATCAAACAAGACGCCCGTCTTCGGTATCTGTCTGGGTCACCAGCTGCTCGCCAGGGCCTCGGGTGCCTCCACCAAGAAGATGAAGTTTGGCAACCGCGGCCACAACATCCCCTGCACCAGCATGGTCACCGGAAAGTGCCACATCACGTCGCAGAACCACGGTTTCGAGGTCGACGCCGCCAGCCTGCCTGCCGGCTGGAAGGAGCTGTTTGTCAACGCCAACGATGGCAGCAACGAGGGTATCATGCACACCGACAAGCCCTACTTCAGCGTCCAGTTCCACCCCGAGAGCACCCCCGGTCCCCGCGACACCGAGTTCCTCTTCGATGTCTTCATCGACACCATGGCCAGCTGCGCCGAGGACCCCTCCCGCCTGAGGGCGCCCGTCAGCTTCCCCGGTGGAACCATCGCGGAGAACGAGGAGCTGCACCCCCGCGTGTCGGTCAAGAAGGTCCTCGTCCTCGGCAGCGGCGGTCTCAGTATCGGCCAGGCCGGCGAGTTTGACTACTCTGGTAGCCAGGCTATCAAGGCCCTCAAGGAGGAGAACATCTACACCGTCCTCATCAACCCCAACATTGCCACCATCCAGACTTCCAAGGGTCTTGCCGACAAGGTCTACTTCCTGCCCGTCAACGCCGAGTTTGTCCGCAAGGTCATCCAGTACGAGCGCCCCGATGCCATCTACGTCACCTTTGGTGGCCAGACGGCCCTTTCGGTTGGCATCAAGCTCCGGGACGAGTTCGAGAGCCTAGGCGTCAAGGTTCTCGGTACCCCCATCGACACCGTCATCACCACCGAGGACCGTGAGCTCTTTGCCCGCAGCATGGACTCCATTGGCGAGAAGTGCGCCAAGTCGGCCTCTGCCAACAACATTGACGAGGCCATGAACGCGGTGTCCGACATCGGCTTCCCCGTCATTGTCCGCGCCGCCTATGCTCTCGGCGGTCTCGGTAGCGGCTTCGCTAACGACGAGGACGAGCTGCGTGACCTCTGCAACAAGGCCTTCGCCGCCAGCCCCCAGGTTCTCATCGAGCGCAGCATGAAGGGCTGGAAGGAGATCGAGTACGAGGTTGTCCGTGATGCCCAGGACAACTGCATCACCGTCTGCAACATGGAGAACTTCGACCCCCTCGGCATCCACACCGGTGACTCCATCGTCGTCGCCCCCTCGCAAACCTTGTCCGACGAGGACTACAACATGCTGCGAACCACGGCCGTCAACGTCATCCGTCACCTCGGTGTTGTTGGTGAATGCAACATCCAGTATGCCCTGAACCCCTTCTCCAAGGAGTACTGCATCATCGAGGTCAACGCTCGCCTGTCGAGGTCGTCTGCCCTCGCCTCCAAGGCCACCGGCTACCCGCTGGCGTTTGTCGCGGCTAAGCTGGGCCTCGGCATCCCCCTCAAGGAGATCAGGAACTCGGTCACCAAGGAGACCTGCGCTTGCTTCGAGCCCTCTCTCGACTACTGCGTCGTCAAGATGCCCCGCTGGGACCTCAAGAAGTTCACCCGCGTGTCTACTCAGCTGGGCTCGTCTATGAAGAGTGTCGGCGAGGTCATGAGCATTGGCCGTAACTTCGAGGAGGCCATCCAGAAGGCCATCCGCTCCATCGACTTCCACAACCTCGGCTTTGGCGAGACCAAGGCCCTCATGAAGATCGACGACGAGCTCCAGACGCCCTCCGACCAGCGTCTGTTCGCCATCGCCAACGCCATGTACGAGGGATATACGGTCGACAAGATCTGGGAGATGACCAAGATCGACAAGTGGTTCCTCCGCAAGCTCAAGCACCTCAGCGACTTCGGAAAGCAGATGACCGGCTACACGACCAGCGATATCGCCAGCTCCCCGGGCCTGCTCCTCCAGGCCAAGAGGCTCGGTTTCTGCGACAGGCAGCTCGCCAGGTTCTGGAGCTCCAACGAGATCGCCGTCCGCAGGCTCAGGCTCGAGGCCGGCATCCACCCCTACGTCAAGCAGATCGACACGGTTGCCGCCGAGTTCCCCGCCTTCACCAACTACCTCTACCTGACCTACAACGCTTCCGAGAGCGACGTCGCTTTTGATGACCACGGCGTCATGGTCCTGGGTTCCGGCGTGTACCGCATCGGTTCCTCCGTCGAGTTCGACTGGTGCTCCGTCCGTGCCATCCGTACGCTCCGCAGCTGCGGCTTCAAGACCGTCATGGTCAACTACAACCCCGAGACCGTCAGCACGGACTACGACGAGGCCGACAAGCTCTACTTTGAGAACATCAACCTCGAGACCGTCCTGGATATCTACCAGCTCGAGAACGCCAGCGGCGTGCTCGGCGCCATGGGTGGCCAGACCCCCAACAACATTGCCCTGCCCCTCCACCGCGCCGGCGTCAAGGTCCTGGGTACCTCGCCCGAGATGATCGACACCGCCGAGAACCGCTACAAGTTCTCCCGCATGCTTGACCGTATCGGCGTCGACCAGCCCACCTGGAAGGAGCTCACCAGCTTCGAGGAGGCCCGCAGCTTCTGCCAGAAGGTCACCTATCCCGTCCTGGTCCGTCCCTCGTACGTCCTCTCGGGTGCTGCCATGAACGCGGTCTACTCGGAGAAGGACCTGGAGGCATATCTGGCCCAGGCTGCCGAGGTCTCGCGCGAGTACCCCGTCGTCATCACCAAGTACATTGAGAACGCCAAGGAGATCGAGATGGACGCCGTTGCCAAGGACGGTAAGATGATTGGCCATTTCATCTCCGAGCACGTAGAGAACGCCGGTGTGCACTCTGGCGACGCCACCCTCATCCTGCCCCCCCAGGACCTTGAGGAGACGACGATCCGCCGCATCGAGGAGGCCACCGGCAAGATCGGTGCCGCCCTCAACGTCACGGGCCCCTTCAACATCCAGTTCATCGCCAAGGATAACGACATCAAGGTCATCGAGTGCAACGTCCGCGCCTCGCGCTCCTTCCCCTTCGTCTCCAAGGTCATGGGTGTCGACCTCATCGAGATGGCCACCAAGGCCATCATGGCCCAGCCCTTCGAAGAGTACCCCCCCACCGACCTGCCCCCCAACTGCGTCGGTGTCAAGGTTCCCCAGTTCAGCTTCTCGCGCCTGTCGGGTGCCGACCCCGTCCTGGGTGTCGAGATGGCCTCCACCGGTGAGGTTGCCTGCTTCGGCGTCGACAAGAACGAGGCCTACCTCAAGGCCCTGCTCTCGACGGGCTTCAAGATCCCCAAGGCCAACGTCCTGCTGTCGATCGGCTCCTACAAGGACAAGAAGGAGATGCTGCCCTCGGTGCAGAAGCTCCAGAAGATCGGCTACAAGCTCTTCGCCACCGCCGGTACGGCTGACTTCCTCCAGGAGCACGGCATCCCCGTGCAGTTCCTCGAGGTCCTGGGCAGCGATGAGGACCGCAACTCGGAGTTCTCGCTCACCCAGCACCTGGCCAAGAACACCATTGACCTGTACATCAACCTGCCGTCGAGCAACAAGTACCGCCGCCCCGCCAACTACATGAGCAAGGGCTACCAGACGCGCCGCATGGCTGTCGACTACCAGATCCCGCTCGTCACCAACGTCAAGAACGCCAAGATTCTGGTCGAGGCCATTGCCCGCCAGTTCGAGCTCGACGTGTCGAAGCGCGACTACCAGACCAGCCACCGCACCGTTGTCCTCCCCGGCCTCGTCAATGTCGCCGCCTTCGTCCCCGGAATTGCCACGCCCGGCAGCCCTGACATGCAGGCCGTCACCAAGGCCTCCATCTCCGGTGGCTTCAGCATGATCCGCCTGATGCCCATGGGCGTCGAGGGCTCCATCACGGACGCCATCACCCTCAAGGCTGCCCAGCAGAACAGCAGGGACGGAGGCTACTGTGACTACAACTTCTCCATCTCGGCCACGTCGGACAACGACTCGCAGATCAGCGCCGTTTCGGGTGAAGTGGGCTCGCTCTTCATCCCCTTCAACCACCTGTCGGACAACATCAGCAAGGTGGCTGCCGTCACGGCCCACTTTGACGCCTGGCCCGCGCACAAGCCCATCGTCACCGATGCTAAGCTCACGGACCTGGCCTCGATCCTGCTCCTGGCCAGCCTGCACAGCCGCCGCATCCACGTGACGTCGGTCACGACCAAGGACGACATCCGCCTCATCGCCCTCAGCAAGGAGAAGGGTCTCCAAGTCACCTGCGATGTCTGCGTCTACTCCCTGTACCTGTCGCAGAAGGAGTATCCCGAGTTCAGGCGCCTGCCCACCCCCGAGGACCAGGCTGCCCTCTGGGAGCACATCGGCGTCGTCGACATCTTCTCGGTCGGCAGCCTGCCCTACCAGCTGGCCAGGTCCGAGGGTCGTGAGGCTGATCCTTCCATGGGCATCGCCGAGGTTCTGCCTCTGCTCCTGACTTCTGTGTCGGAGGGCAGGCTCACGGTTGCCGACATCGTCAAGCGCCTTTACGAGAACCCCATGGTGGTATTCGAGCTCCACGAGCAGCTCAACACGTCCATCGAGGCCGAGATCGACCGCGCCTACACCTTCACCTCACCGTCGTCGTGGTCTCCCTTCGAGGGCCGCCAGATGATGGGCTCGGTCAAGCGCGTCACCTTCCAGGACACGGCTGTGTGCCTGGACGGCGAGTTCCTCCCCGTGCCTCCCATGGGCAAGAACGTGTCCTCGTTCCTCCTACCCCCCACGTCGCCGGTTGTCAAGCCCGCCGCCGCCGCTCCCTCGATTGCCCAGATCACCGAGAGCCCCCTGTCGTCGTCGCGTCCTGCTAAGCAGCACCAGCAGCAGCACCAGCAGCTTCTCGAGCCCGCCAAGATTGGCAGGGCCCGCGACGGTGCCGATCTGGAATACCACCTGACCAGCCCGTCGGCGTCGTTCCCGCCCAGGCAGCTGCAGCTCTCGAGCAGCTCGTCGATCGAGCAGCTCCTGTCGCGCCCTTCGGCCTTCAGGAACGCACACGTCCTGTCGGTCAAGAGGTACTCGAGGTCCGACCTCCACCTCCTGTTCACGGTAGCCCAGGAGATGCGTCTGGGCGTCCAGCGCGAGGGTGTGCTCGACACGCTTCGCGGAAAGGTCCTGTGCACCCTCTTCTACGAGCCGTCGACGCGCACGTCGGCGTCGTTTGACGCGGCCATGCAGCGCCTGGGAGGGCGCACGGTCCCGGTCGCGACGTCGCACTCGTCCGTGCTCAAGGGCGAGAGCCTGCAGGACACGATCCGCACGCTGGCGTGCTACGGCGACGCCATGGTCCTCCGCCACCCTCAGGAGACGTCGGTGGACGTGGCCGAGAAGTACAGCCCGGTCCCCGTCATCAACGGCGGCAACGGCAGCAAGGAGCACCCCACGCAGGCCTTCATGGACCTGTTCACGATCCGGGAGGAGCTGGGTACCGTGCAGGGCCTGACCATCACCTTCCTGGGTGATCTGCTGTACGGACGCCCCGTGCACTCGCTCGTGTACCTCCTGCGTCACTACCAGGTGCAGGTGCAGCTCGTGGCGCCCAAGGAGCTCCGCCTGCCCGAGCCGATCAGGCAGCAGCTCATCGCCTCCGGCCAGCTCCTCTGCGAGTCCGAGTCGCTGACGCCCGAGATCCTCGCCCGCAGTGACGTGCTCTACTGCACGCGTGTGCAGCGCGAACGCTTCGCCACCGAGGCCGCCTACGAGCGTGTCAAGGACTCGTACCGCGTGGACAACGCGGCCCTGAAGCACGCCAAGGGCTCCATGGTTGTGCTGCATCCTCTTCCCAGGAACGAGGAGGTTGCCGAGGAGGTTGACTTTGACCAGCGTGCGGCCTATTTCAGACAGGTGAGTTGTTCTTCTAGCTCTCTCTCGTCTCTTGTCTCCCCTACATCTCTCCCTTTTACATGGCACGCACACGCACACGCACAAACGCACACACACACACACACTTTCTCTCTCTCTCCCCTTTCTCTCTCTCCTCTCTCTCTCTCTCTCTCCCCTTTCTCTCTCCTCTCTCTCTCTCTCTCTCTCCGTATGTGTGATGTGCTAACATGCCACAGATGCGCTATGGCCTGTACTGTCGCATGGCTCTCTTGGCACTCGTCATGTCAGACATGTAGACAAGAAAAACACGGTCTCTTTTTTTTTTGATGTGTCGTCGGATATGGCAGAGAGAGAAAACATGGTCTTGGCTTCGGATACGAGTGTTTCCTTGATTTGCTATGGTTTCTTTTCTCCCCCC